AATTCAATAAGTCTTAGAAGAGCTCTTGTATAAATAATGGTGCAAATCCACTTCCCAAACCAATGTGGGAGAAAAAGCTACTTCCAAACTTTTTCTCTTCACGTTTCCCACTCAAATGGGTCTACTTTGAGAATCAATATCTCATTCACCCATTATTCGTTTTGAGCGTACAATATATCAATCTCTTCGTCTCACTACGAAGAACCCGAATCCACTTTGATCCGGCCAAAATCGGAAGTGGACCCCTGTTGGTCCCAAAGGGGGTGTGGTAAAAGTCTAGAGGGGGGGGGGGGTGAATAGACTTTTAAACGTTTTCACAAAGACAACAATTGTTGAGGCGATAGAGAAACCAAAACACTTAACTAGATTGTTAGAGTCTTGTGCACAGCGGAATAAATAAATACAAGTTGTGTGATTGTGTCAAGTATATCTACGTGATAAGCAGTAAGTAAATAAAGCAGTAAATGACACAAGGCAATTTATAGTGGTTCGGAGGTGATGTAATCCCCCTACTCCACTTGCTCTTATCGTCCAAGAACAATTCACTATATCCACCACTTCTTGCTTCCTAGATACAATGAATTTCCGTGATCTAGTGCTTTGATCACTAAGCTCACACTAATCACGCCCAGTGCCTCCAACACTGCTGCTTCGGATTTCACAGCTCCGTGCTACTTTCCCCCCCGTCTTCCACGATCCGTTCGACGTATCCCGTGATCTGGTGCTTTGATCACCAAGCCCACACCAATCACGCCTAGTGCCTACAACACTGCTGCTTCGGATCTCACAGCTCCATGTGGCAATCCAGGATTTCACAACTCCGTGTTACTTTCCTCCCGTCTTCGACGTATCCCATGATCTAGTGCTTTGATCACAAAGCCCGCACTAATCACGCTCAGTTCCTCCGACACTGCATGTATCACTTGTTTGTAGAAAAACAAGTTTCACTGGCTTCCAACTTTGAGACTTCTTGAATGGATCTTCAATATGCAGCAAACCTCTCAATGATGAAGATTTCAAACACTCTTGAATATTTTCTCTATGAGCTCTGAGTGTTTTTCTCACTTGAATATTTTCTCACATTTGAGTATAGGACTTGTTCGTATGTACTGTTCGTTTCTTGTGTTGGAAGTGCTTTGATCTACTTCAATCTTCATCCTTTTATAGCTAGTTTTGAGAAGTTGTCCGTTGGAAAAAGACAATCTCAAATTTGAATTTCAAATCTCAAATTTGAATTCTTGTAGCCTTTGCGAAGGATCTGTAGCTTTCTCAGAAGATCATATTAAAAATGATATCTCTAACATATGAGATATTTCAGCCGTTGCATAGCTCTTGGTCCATGTGAAGAGACTTAAAATATTTCTGATGCAGATCATGTCTTCACGTGAAGGTGCTCTTAAAATAATTCTGATGTAGATCATGCCTTCTGGGACTTTCATCTCATACTAGTGAGAATTCAATCCTTGATTGAAATCTCTCTGTATGGGTCTCATACTGGTGAGAATTCAATCCTTGATTGTTGAAATCTCTCTGTATGGGCTGATGAAGTTGTGGGTCTCATACTGGTGAGAATTCAATCCTTGATTGAAACTTCTTCTCTAACTTCAGCTCCTACTTCATCTCATAGAGCTGATTTTGGCTTCTTTAATTTTGCCCTATAAAATTGTAGAGAATGACTTTGAACCTAAGACCTTACGGTTTATACATCAAGCTTTCATCCATCTCGCCTGTACGGATTACTAATCATTGTAGCATATTCCTTGATGTACTTCTTTCTTTCCATAGATGCTTGATCTCCAAGATAACTTCATGCTATCTCGTTTGCTTCTCGTTTCTTCGTATGAGATTATCAGTATGACTTCTTCTTTGAGTTGGGGCGTGTGGGCTTATTTAAGTATACATATCATATGCATACATCTCCTTCTTCTTCTTCTTCTTCTTCTTCGTATTTTTCCCTTTCTCTATATTTGTTAATTTTCCTTGGTCTATGACACGCCTAGACTTAACAACTAAAATTGGGAATACAATTTTCCATATCAAAAACTATTACAATATATTCCTAACAATTTTCCCCCTTTTGATAATGCCAAAATCTTATACTCAGTCATTGGCTTTAAGTCTTTTGAAAAAATATTTTTTGCTCAATTTTATTTGGCAAAGCCATGATGAGTTTAACAAACTTTTTCTAGGAAAATAAATTGACTCGTGAATTAATTTTAGACAAGTTCCTAATACGCATTTTCATATTTAATTCTAATCATTTTTCTCTTTTGTTATGCGTTTTACATGCTTGTCTTTTAATTCACATTCTAAATACAAGTTAAGATATCAAAAAGAAATATAGACCATTTTAGGAAATTAACATAACTTGTATGATCATAATAAGGGAAAATACTTGATAATTTCGAAACAGTAATTTTACAAAACATAAGTTTCGAAAATCATAGGATCAGATTGCCTCTTATCACTTCTTTCGTTCTTTAGGACATCTTTGATGTGTTCCCTCATCTTGTACACATCATTCTTGATACGTTCACAGAAGAATTCTTTGTTGACTTGTCCAGCGAGGTAATTTTCATATGCTTCTTTCAGAGTTGTTCCCGGTAGAACTCCAACATCAATCCATTCTATGCATTCATTGAAGCTTCTACCGTGGCCTAGAGAATTTCCTGTGGTTCCAGTGAGTTTTTGCAATTCAAACCACATATCCATCTTCTTTCTCTTTCTCTGTTCTTCCTTATTCTTTTCGTTCACCCAGTGTGCTACTGTAACACCCCAAATTTTAAGTACAGAAACTAAAGATTTAAAAGGAAAATATTTCTCAAAATATGCGAAAACTAAACCAACAACACGGGGTGTTATGCCACACTTGGGTTATTCTAACCCAAATGCACAGGCTACAAAGTTTCTATCTACAATCCAAATACAAGGTTGAATAATCCAATTATAACTAACTATAGAGCCCTAGATTGAAGTCCTAGGGTGAGTAAGGTTGATTAGATGAGCCAAGGGAAGTTGACTCGATAGACCCTTACGTTTAAGGATTTAAGAGTTAAGATTCCTTTAAGGTTTCTAGCTTCTTTAAGAATACGCGGGGAGATTGAGTGTTACTTACGCATGCTTGTTGTATTATATGATTTGCTTTATTCTCTTGTTCTGTGGCTTTTGCACCCTGATGGTGTGTACCTATTTAGTAAGTTACTGTCGGTTAAGTAAGAGTTTGCTTCTTGAGTTCTTTTGTTGCCTCTCCATGCGCCTTTAGTTGCTTATTGATGCTATTCAGGTCTATTGCTATGCTGTATAAGTCCGTTGATTTGTTTTGAACCTGGATTCATTGTAAAAGATTCAATCTTATTATTCCTTTGAATGGTTGTTGAAATCCTCCGTAAGAATTCTTGGCAGTGTTCTAGTGACTCGCATGCTAGTCATGTTGATTCTTTAATGCTAGTGTATTCCTTTGATATCCTTTGCCTTGATTCTTGTTATTGTTGTTGACTTGAGCTTACTTATTCTTCTTATACCTTTCCCCTGAATCCGTTGATATTAATTGATTGCTTTGAGATTATATCCTTGTTGTATTTTCTTTGGAATCCGTTGGCATTGAACTATTGTTTTGAGATTATATCTTTGTTGTACCCTATCTTTGGAATTCGCTAATATTGAGCTATTGCCTTGAGGTTATTCATTGTTGAATATCTTTCTTTTGGAATCTATTGCATTGCCCTTGCTTCTTGAGATTCCTTTGTTGAATTGAATTCCTTGTTCCCTTTTTGAGGTGGAATCCTTCATTTTCCTTTGTAGAATCAAATATCTTTTTATGAGAAATTCTCCCTATCATTTCAAGCCTTGATTTTGATCTTTCTTTTGGAAATACCTCTGTGTTGAGAAATCCTTTCCATTTCTTTCGAATCTCTTACTCGTGACCTTCATCGCGACTTTTATGACATTGACTTTGTTCTTGATCAATAGTACTCTTAACTTTAAATTCCATGGCTTCTTATTTTTAACAACTCCGTGAAGTCAAACTCTTTCAAAATAGTGTGTCTTTCTTAAGAGTTTTATTCAACTCACTCCTACCTTGGTTCAACTCCTTTCCCCTACCTCGGTCGAAGCTTCGGGGACGAAGCTTGTTTTTAAGGTGGGTAGAATGTAACAACCCAAAATATTTTCCTCCCAAATTAATATTTTATAAGTTTCAAAATAAAATTATTTCATTCCTACGATGGTTTATCCCAAAATGTATATAAATAAAATATTTTTTAAACTCTATATCAAAATAATTTCCTACAACTATGTATATATTTATTTATGATTTCACAAATCCTATTTGAAGAATAACTTCATTCCCTAAAAATTTGATCCAAAAGTCTATCTAAGAGGAACCTGAGAACCCATTTTACTCGTATCAATTCCCTAACCCAAATGATCTTAAAATTCCTAGCCCAATAATTTGTTTAAGCCAAGAAATTTTTCTAAGCCTAATCTTTTTGCCTAACACATATATTTAGGGGGCGTTTGGTTCAGGTTATATAACATAACCAAGGGAATGTGACATTCCAAAGCTCACATTCCGGTGTTTGGTTCATATTATCTTAGGGAATCTAACATTCCCAAGGAATGTCACATTCCCTCCACATAGGATTTTGAAGGGAATGTGATTCCCTTCAAAATCTTAGGTAATGTAAGATAACCTTGGTTATCTTAAGGATATTATAGTGTGTATAAAAGATAACCCTAAACCAAACATGATTATATTACATACCCCAATTTTAACCAAACACAGGAATCTAACATTCCCAGTAATCTAACATTCCCAGCAATCTAACATTCCTAAGGTAATCAGACATTCCGTGAACCAAACGACCCCTTAGGTCTTTAAAATATCCCAATGTGTGTACATACACTTATACAATAAAAATCTGATTTTGAGATCCGTAAAACCCTAGCTATAAAAAGGAAAGAATGTGCATTGTTCAGTCTTCAAAAAAAGAAAAAAAAAACATCAGCAGCCAAACAACACCCCTTTCCCATCTCTCTCTAGTGAAGACCACCGGCGACAATGGTGGTGGCCGACGACATACGCCGGCAAGCGGCGGTGGACGGTAGTGATCTCCTCCCTCCTGACCTCTCTCTCTCTCTCTCTCTCTCTCTCTCGTCACTTTGTCTCCCTCTCCCTCTTTTTTTTTGACGAAAGCAGCAGATCGGAGCAGACGAGCGGCGATCTTCCTCTGGCAAGCACGGTCAGCAGCGGCGGCGGATGAGCGACGGCAACCTCCTCTCCCCTCCGATAGTATAGCGGCAGATCGGGTGTCTCCAATTTAGTACGAGCAGATCTGGAGGTGGATGGTCATGGCTATGATTTCTGGCGACGAGCATCTTCGGCGACCTTGCTCCGGCGACAACGGACGGCGGACGGCATGGATGGCTCCATTCCGGCATGAGCTCTAACGGCAGGGATGAGGTGAGGTGTTAAGTTGATACTGAAAGTCTATAGAAGTCTACTATTGATGTTATTAGAGTTTAAATTAATGATGCGTAGGTGATGCCTTGCAACTTTGAAGTTAATATCTACACATTTGGTTGTTGATGAAGGATGTTGATGATTGAGCTTGATGGGTGATTAATGATGATGCTATAAATTAATATTCAAGATGGTTAAGGAATGATTAATGAAGCTTAACTAGTAATAATGGTTGTTTTAGTTAATAATGGACGATTACTGATAATGATGGTAATTACTGATGTTTGATGATGATGAAGGCATAATCTAAAGAAATTATATTGTTCAAGATTAGAGCTTTATGATTATGATGGAGTTTGATTAAGACAGGATAATTACTAAATGATGTTTTGGATTATTGGATAATGAGGGTGTTTAGTTGATTAATGATAGTGATTTGGGTGTTGTTAATAATCATGATTATTATAATGATTGGTAATCATTAAGCTTGATGGTGATGATGATTAAAGGATTCTTGGGATAATTATGGATTCTGCTGAATGTTAATTAGATGGTGAAGGATTATGTATGAAGTATGAATATTAATAGTAATTACGGTCTGATGATGGTGAAGTGGGTGATGAAGTGACTATGGATGAGGACTATTAATGAATTCGGTTTAATGATCAGTTTATAATTAGATGATGGGTAATGATGGACTAATTATTGTTATATTGATAGTATGATGTGGATTAATATAATTATTAATAATAATAGTATTCGTAAATGATTAAAGAATAGATTGATTCACAGGTTCTCTAGGGAAGTGGCTAGTTTAAGAGTTGAGCCTAAGGTTAGGGTGTTTCGCTTTAGGAGCTTAGTTGGGGAGGTAAGTTTCTATACTTATCAAAATTACTTTGCCCTATTTAAATGTGCTATTTATCTGGGTTGTGTCCTTAAACTGTTTTGAAAATATGTTTGGGTTTTAAAGTGTGATAAATAACAAATGTGTATATTTTGGTGTAACCCTATGATTTACAATTATGAATGTGTACATTTATCATTGAGAATATTATGGTAATATGAGTATGAAATAATATGTATTTTGAAGGATAAAAAACTATATTCTATTTCGGAGGAAAAATATTATTTTGATATATACCCTATTTTTGAGGAAATAGATATGTATGGTTTATATATACCCTATGTAATGTTATTTGAAAATTATGCTTTGAATAGCCTACGGGCAAATGAAAATATTTATGAGAACTTCTTTTGGAAAACTATTATTATTTTTGGAGAACATTATATAAGAATGTATCTATTTTGGAGGATATGTGGATATGATGGATGGTTATGCAACGGTGGATTTCGGTCCTAGTGTGGGCTTCGGCCCTAATTTGATGAGATTGTATCTGGTAGGGATACCTATTATATGTGGAGTAGCTTGGTAGAAAACATCCTTAGCTACTTGGACTAGTTACTATTCTTTTGGGTTGGGGAAGCCCATTAGGGGGTGTGCACACTTAAGGTTTTAGTCCTTTACCCCACGAAAGGGACAAACTTGTGGAGTGGGCAGTAGAGTGGATTACCGTGTCACTAGGGCTTAGTTGATCTAAGACCCTTCGTCCCTTTCACCTTATATATATATGAGAGTATATGGACATGTGAAATCTCGTGAGTGATGGTTATGATATTCCTCCATGTGTATATGTGATACTTGGAAAAATGATTTGAGAAATATGATTTGAATTCCTCCCTACCTATGATTATTGTTATATATATGTTTATGAGAGGCTTATGAGAAAGTCTATACTAAAAATGATTATTTGAGAAAATCTATGTCCTGAGATGTGAACACTTGATGAGTAAATTATATGTTGCTATGAGTTCCTCCATATCTATATTATGTATACCTTGAAAATTCTTATGAGAGATGATGGTTTATACAAATGATTATTGTATTGTAAAGTATTATGTGAGAAAGCTTACTTTGAATCCTCTATACTTATGTTCATTTTGAAAATAAGAAAGAATGACTATGTATTAATTATACCATTTTGGGAAGTGCTAAGTATTATTATTTTGGATTTCTATTAACTTGTATGAAATGTAGTGTTTTTCTGACTAGAGTGTGTATGGCGTTGGTGCCTAACCTACTTTTGGGAAAACTATTTTGAGAAAGGATATAATACCTATTTTTGGGTGTGAGTCAAGAATATTTTTACTGTAGTTATGTACCTATATATTCACTTGGGTAAATGTTTTTTAAATGGTGATATATTCGAGTTTCAAAATTTATTTACAAAGTATAACTATTTTCGAATTATAAATGTATTTATTTTACAGGGCGGAGTAGAGCTTACTTAGCATTTTATGCTAATTCTATTGTTTGTGTTTTTCCTAAATCTTTTGTTTTCAGGAGATGAAATTAGTGGCTTGCTTTGAGAGCGCGGTGTAGAGTTCGTATGCCTTGTAATAGAATTTGTACCCTGAGAATTGCTTATGGTATAGTTGAATGGATTAGAACCTAGACTGTTTTATAGTTAGTTATAATTGGATTATTCAACCTTGTATTTGGATTGTAGATAGAAACTTTGTAGCCTGTGCATTTGGGTTAGAATAACCCAAGTGTGGCATAACACCCCTTGTTGTTGGTTTAGTTTCCGCATATTTTGAGAAATATTTTCCTTTTAAATCTTTAGTTTCTGTACTTAAAATTTGGGGTGTTACAACTACTTTAGCTGGGGATTGTTTCTTGATCATGGCAGGTGCATTTTCATTGGTCCATATGGTATATGGTATATCGGTTTTGGAGCAATTGAACCAATCATCAGCCTTTCCTTTAGATGAACCTGCCCCTAAACCAGAATTAGCAAATTGAGCAAAGCCCAAACCACCTGGAGATGCTTGGCGTCCACGGCCTCGGCCACTTGGTGGTATAGTTTGTGGTTTCCCAAAATATTCCTGTTGTTGAGCCGCCATATGACTGAGATATTCTTCCACCCTTTTGGCTTTATCAGCAAGAAAATTAAGGACACGGGTATCTCGGTCTTGGTTGGCTTTCACAATCTTGATTCCTTCATTAGTTACGTCAGAATTATTCTGCAAAGTTTCCAACTTCTGAGTCATGGAGGATAGCTCAATTTCAAGTTGATTGATTCTTCGTTCTTGATCTTGTATGGCATTCAGTTGCCTCATATGTCGTTCATAATTGATATTCTCAGCATCCTCCTTTTCTTTCTTCAAATTTTTGATCACTTCAACGAAACTGGCAGAGATGTCAGCCTTCAAACGGCCTTCTGTTCTTTCGATCTTGGACTCCAAAGATATGTGATTTTCAAAAATTTGTGTGAAATTTGACATTGTTTTGTCAAATTCTTGCATCGGCAAATGTCCTTAATCTCTCAAAGTAGTTTCGATCTTGTGGCAAATTGTATCTCCAGATTAGGATACTTTGGCAAACAAAGTTGTCAAAATGCCATCTTCATCTTCTTCAGGCCGGTGGTGTGTTGTCCAGTTTAGATTATGTAGAGATTTGAGAAACTTCCTTCTTGAATATGCTAAAACTGGAGTTTCCACAAGTTGTAAGCTTCTTCCTTCAGATGATTCGGCCATAGTGGTATTTTCTTGACAACTGGCTTCCTTGTCACGGGTTTCTCCTTCTGTATTGACTTCCTCTTCTCCTTGATATTGTCAATATCTTGAGAGACACTTGGATTTGAAAGAATAGGTTGCTCAGACAAAGGTCTTTCTTCTAGTGGAGATTGAAAGTTTGCAATAGTTTTGACAAAGACATTTTGTACTGCAATTTCAATTAATTGTTCCCCCCAATTAATTCTGGATTTGAAAGAATAGGTTGCTCAGACAGAGGTCTGTCTTCTAGTGGGGATTGAAAGTTTGCAATAGTTTTGACAAAGACATTTTGTACTGCAACTTCAATTAATTGTTCCCCCCAATTAATTCTCTATTCTCATTCAAAACTTCTTCTCTTACTTGTTCTCCAATCTCTTCTCTGATCTCATCTCCCACATCTTCTCTGATTTCTTTCTCTGACCACTAATCAAAATTGTTAACTTCTTTTTCTGACAAGATTGTTTAGTTTCTTGTTGTGTACGCTTTTGGGGATTAATCTTTATATAAGGTCGAGAGATAGAGAGAGATAAAAACAAAACTTTTATTTAGGACTCCTTCTTAGGGAGTATCACAAGAACTACACATTTTTTCACATCAGCATTTTTCTTAGTTCTTGGTAGAGGAGAAGGCGGTCCCTAAGCTTGCATCTAAGTCGCTTCGTGGAGGAGATGGACAGTAGCCAGGTCCAGAGCCATCACTGAATTGGCACTCACAGTGATGCTTTCCATCTTCATAGTTTGAGCTCGCTGAGGAATATGTTGCGGCAAAGAACCTCGTGAAGTCGACTGGAGGTCGGATATTTGGATTCGCCAGTGCTGGTGGTGAAGGCGGTGGAGGAACTTGTTCCGGGAGAGGAAGTAGAGGAGTTTGTTCCTGCGGGTGCAGCACTTCATCCACCAGATTATTTAGATAGAACATGTAATCAGGATCCGGCATATCCAACAACTGATCATAGACATCTCCTTGGACCACTGGCACATAGTTTTTGAAGGGTGGCTCATCTTCGTACACAAAACCCGGTTCCCTTGGCGGTGAGATAGGAACTGGATTTTCCAGTAGCTTGAACGGGTCGATTGTGTTCTTCTGGTCACGCTTCATCACTGGTGTTCTAACCTCTTCATCTTTCGAAAACACGAGGGGATCATCCATAGTGTCTCCGATTAAATCCATAGTGTCTCCGATTAAATGTCCTCCATGAGCATTTCGGATTGCTCTAAGCTTCTGTTGACTTACTCGTTCCCACACACGTTTGGATGTCCTTCTTGGCATATTTTCTCCATCATTGTTCTTTGAACCCATTGTTTATCTGCAAAATAAAACAACCACAGAGAACTTCTACGCAGGTTTGGTTCTTAGCCACTCTTCCTAATTTATAGCGAAAAGAAGGTGTTGGATGCACTTAGTGGGCTCTAGGGTTTATTGTAACCGATGAACCCTACTTATGGCTTGTGGCTAGGAACCCAACTTCTCATTCGATGAAGAGGGCGGTTGATGGGAAAGGATTTGACGTGTAACGCTTCTCAAGAGATGTTATGCGGCTAAATTAAATAGGAGAAGGTTTGGGAATTAATTTGAGTAGACAGGCAGAGATTTGGTTTTCTGACAGGAGTTTTAAAAATGATTTGGAGAGAGTTAAGAGAGGAGATTTGATAGGAGGCTAAGTTGGAGAATCGGTTTAGGAAGAGGATTCTTGAATTGACAGGTTAGTTCTCTCACAAAACATATAATATCATATAAAATATCTCCATCTTTCAGAAATTGAATTTTCTTTAAATAAATAATAACCACACGATTGAAAAATAAATTTAAACACTTTGGTGCTATCAAATGTCTTTTGGGATTTAGTTACCAAAAACAATTAGGAAACAATCACATTTATATATATTTATATATATACACGCACACACGGTAATACATATATAAACTTACACAAATTTGGTAAATAAATAAATTTTGCAACTTCTTCCCAAAAACAAATTTTAGAAACCAAAAATAACTTGATACCAATTTTGAAAAGCTTTTTCGTATGGCAATTTAAAATAACAGAAATAGAACACATATGCCACATGCAATTCACGTAACAAATATTTATCATGCCACAAATAATTTAAATCAGTTTAAGAGCAATTAGGCATGTAAATAAATCAATCATAAAGATCAATACACATATACGAAAATTTACTTGAATCCCAAATAACAAATTAAACTATCATGCGATTAATCTCAAAATTTCCAAAAATTGTATTTTTATCAAATCAATTTTGCATGGCACGTAATTACACTTAAAATAACACATGCAACTATATAAACAAATGGATAACACATATTGCAAAATCATTCACGTAATTTTCAAACAAAAACATGAACAAACAATACTAAATAAATTAAATTGAGCACAAGTATCAATTAGAATAAAGAAATTAAGTCCAGTGATACTTAGCTCAGTTCGATCATTCCCAATTCGTGCCTTAAGGTAGCATATCTCGTTTCGCATAAAGGCTTTGTGAGAATGTCTGCAACTTGGTTCTCCGTAGGGATATATTCGATTTTTAGATCTTTATTTTCAACATGATCCCTTATGAAGTGATGTCGAATGTCGATGTGTTTGGTTCTTGAGTGAAGTACCGGATTGTGAGTAATCGCAATTGCACTAGTATTATCACAGTAAATACTAACGTCATCACAATTTACTCCATAATCCTTCAATTGTTGCTTCATCTACAATATTTGCGCACAACAACTCCCTGCAGCAATGTATTCGGCCTTGGCGGTACTAGTTGTGATGAAATTTTGATTTTTGCTAAACCAAGAAACAAGCCTTCCCCCTTAAGAATTTGCATGTCCGGGAAGTGCTTTTCCTGTCTATTTTACAACCTGCAAAATCCGCATATGAAAAACTCGTTAGAGTAAAATCTGTACCTTTAGTATACCATAATCCTACATTGATCGTTCCTTTTAGATATCTTATGATCATCTTTGTTGCGGTGAGGTGGTTTTCTTTTGAATTTGCTTGGAATCTCGCACACACTCCCACAGCATAAGATATGTCTGGCCTGTAACACCCCGAAATTTTGAAACTTTTAAGACTTATATAATAAAGGTAAATTCTCATTAAATCTCAAAATTTAACTTAAGAGTATGGGGTGCTATGCCACACCTGAGCTAGAGAACTCAGGCGCACAGGCTAACTAACTAAAATCCTCAATAATGTCAATACATAAGCATGGCACGCAGGCCGAAAGTGAAACAATCTACTCTACGCTCCAAATCTCTAGCGCGCTCCAGTGTCTAATCATCTGTGCCTGAAAGCCAAATATATCTGTTCAGCGAGAGATGCTGGTAACCCACTCCAACGCGTTGAAATACATTATAGATAGATGTATATATAGATATACGAAAATCATTTCGAAGCAGGAAGATATATACTTAAGAGACACTAGTTTTAAAACCGGGAATAGACTCAGCAAATGAGGATAAGCACATCAAACAATAATAAACAGTTAAGTAGAGATGACATCATAAGGAATACGCATTTACGGTCACAGATCACTTTTCAATTCCAAACCACATCATCATCCAATAATCATTCATATCACATAATCATTGGTGGCGCCACGGGACCAATCGCATGCCCCGAACATGAGGGTTAATGCTTATAGCATTAACACGGCCACGCAGCACCCTACCTTAGTACCGTAGTACGAGGGGAGTTGATCGCAACCAACCCTTTGAGAACCGCTGACGAACTCAACGTCGGACCACGATCCGACACACCGCTGACGCGCCCAATCGGTGGACCGCGATCCCCTTTACAAGGGGGGACTTACGACCCTACACACCGTTGATGCGCACAATCGGTGGACCGTAGCGGATCAAGCCCGACACACCGCTGAGCTAAACTCAGTCGGTGGGCGAAGATCCTCGGAGACTACGGCCCTACATACCGATGTCCCATCACTCGGTGGATCGTAGCCAGCCGTAGCCCTACACACCTCCTGATTACTCAGTTCGGTGGACTACAGCCTTCCTCGGCTTGTTGGCCCTACA